CTGTCAGACATAAGTTACCTTGGATTTGATGGAAATAATTCCATCCAGATTCAGTTGACAAATCAAGGGAAAAGTTAGCAGGAGAGGAAGAAGACACTGACAAGAAGAAGGTCTTTTCCTTCGCCATAGCTGCAAGAGATGTCGATCTTGCCGAGTACGGACACTTGACCTCGATGAGCTTTGTTTCACTAACTACGCCATCTGGGGAACCACCAATGAGGCCACATGGTGCAAGCCATAAGCCGCTGGATCTCACAGACACATATTCACACTCCTCATAGCATGCAACAGCCGTACTTTCGTGCATGAGACCCCACTGGATGGCCTTTTGCCCAGACAAATCATACTGACCAAGAAGGCGAGTAAATAAAGATTTAGATGGCTGGCGGCCAGATGAGATAGTCTTCAGCACAGGACCGAAGTTGGATGCCGTTATTCTGCCCTTGCGTAGAAGCGACCAAGTAGCATTCGAGTTTTGGCCACGTGTTGCTTTTTCCACGGCTACAATTTGGGCAGCAGATACGGATAGCCTGGTACACACATAGGTGACTTTGTGTTCTGCTTCCAGGAATCCTTGACTCAGGGTAATACCTTCAACCGTCTCCGTCGGCAAATTGTCCGCTTCTTTCACCTCGGGATCTAGCAGCCAACGAAAACCCTTCCACCTGTCAAGTGTCCCAAGCTGATGGTGAAACCATGCCCTGTCCTCATTATCCACAGGGCGTGAAATGGCACAAAACGGCTTCGACTTCGGGAAAATGTCATCCACAGTCCTACAAAGCAGATAAAATGCGTGCACACACACACACACACACACACACACAGAGTGCTTTTTATTACTCCGTTGCTCGCTAAAAACGGGCTGGAAACATACAACTGCGACACTGCATCACGTGACGTGAGTTTTCGCCGTCGGCGTACCCCATAGAAAGGGTATCATGAGTTGCACGCTCTTGGGGGTTATACTCTTGCTAATATCAAGAGTCTGCCTGTCTTCTGGCATATGCGAATACGTGGACTTACTGTTGACGTAAACGCGGACGTGCATATACTAATATCAATAAGTATATAAACAAGAGTGTGCAACTCGAGGATGGGTTGGCCCACGACGCAATTTTTTGTTGACGTAATATTTTCTATGACGGACACGCTGCGAGCCTTTTGGGAAGTTTTGCCTCGTGCACTTGGCCAGGCTTTACATTACAAGGTCGGTGCCCAGCACCTGCTCTTACACTGCCCTGCGGCAAAATCCGCATGCTCTGTAAAAAAAGGTGACGTCAACAAAAAATTCTGCCCGCGGGCCGCGGTATCTGCAGATTGTGCAGGAGAGATCCGGAGTTGCACACTCTTGTTTATCTACTCTTGCTAATATTGATAAGCATCCTCCACATCAGTAACAGTAACACCTGCCAACTGGTTGTCGCACATGCTGGATTGCCAGTAAGCTAAACATCGAGGCAAAGAATTTCATGAAACCAATACATGTACGTGTTGCAGTCACATCGGAGGCACCAGTTTTCTACTTTCACAAAACTAATAATCAACAATAATTTGCTTAAAAATCCTTACTTTGTTTCACTAGTTCCCTTCCGTACAGTCCAAGAACATTCCCTGTCCGTGCTGCTCACATTCTTGTTCGCGTAGACAAGGGCTGCAGCCATGTGGTGGCACCGTCCTTGGCCTTTGGGACAAGTGCACGAAGCGCGTACAACGCCACCTTCAGAACCAAGTTCGATCTACACAAAAATTTGAATATAAAAATAGTAGAAATATTCAAAGACGATGTGAGGGTGTCCAGGTCGATAGAAGAGACTGTAAGCAGCTAGGAACGGCACAACAGTTGCTTAGTGCTAGGTTGCTCACCTCCACATCATATCTCTTGTCCTTCATGCTTGCGTGGATCTTGGCAGTAATGTGCCCAAGCTCATGGTGAAACAGAAATGATTCCACGCGGTTCGAAGAGTGTGCATTTTCTCCACGCTGGATCAGCCTTGGTTCTCCACTGAAAAAAGTGGCGATGCTAGATAACGGTACTAAAGACATTCTAAAACAAACAAAACGCAGAACTGGGGGCCAGGGGGAAGACAGCAGCCTAGGCTTCTGGTCGAAATCGAAAGAAATAATATGTCTCCTCCACTATTTTCAAAGCTGGTCACAAGAGCTCGAGTGGGTAGTGGATCCAGTTCATGTTGCACGTGATCCCGTGACGTAGGACTTTCAAGCCCTATAAACTGATGCTTGAGCATCATCGCTAACGACTATCCTACAAGCATGTAGGGCATAGGCATTAGTAGACGGTGTCAGGACTTACATGACTTGTGTCAGCTGTGACAAGTCTACCACGGTCTACTCTCCACGTACGTACTGCTCCATCTCGTCAGGTCCCTGCGCACGCGACTACAAAGAGTTCGCCAAGAAATACGTACTGGCTCCAGTATCTTGTTTTCCAGGCACTTGTCGTCCCACGCAGTGCAGTCAGTGTTTATTTGATTTGATTACAGTGGGTAATGGAACAGGAAGGTTGTGTGGTGTTTGAGCTAGTCATTTTGTATAGCGTTTTGTCACGAGCTCGTGTTAGTTCTGCGGGGAAGTGAAGACTCCTTGCGGCCATCACCGGACCGCGGAGTTGGAGGTGCCACTATCAATTGCCAGCTGCATTGTGCAGCATCGGCAGGTAAAGTGTACAATATTTTTGTGTTTCCTGAACATACCACATATGTACAGTGTATCCGGGAATACGTGCGCTGTTACCGCACTAGGTAGAAAAGACAAGAGTGACTGTGGGTCTACCTGGTCTACCCTCTTAGACTAGCAGACTACCTCGGGGGTGAGGATTCAGCATTTTCGTTTTATAGGTTTTTACTATTTTAACGAGTATTGCTTACGAACATGACGTGCATATTTTTTCTGCTGTTCTACTGTCATGGACATGGAAATCCGGTCGCACGTCTAGCGGCCCCAGGGCGCTGGCCATGCAGCCATGGGTAAGCAGTACACACATGCATGGCATTATTAATATTATGCTTGTCGCATCGGATCAACATGTGCACTGTTCTGTAGGTGCTGAGGGCGCCGGCCCCCAGTCAATCGAATGGATTTCCATGTCCGCGACAGTACATCATATACTCGTATATACTAAATACTGTACCCAGATCAGGAACGCTGTTTCCCCATTGCAAGGCAAAGTTTTCCCCTGACCCCTGTACAAGACAACCCATTGTAAAACAATTTTAATCGAGCCCCTCCCATACAAGACAACATGAAACATTGATCGAGCTACAGGAGCTGGAAAAAAACGAATCCAGACAAATCACATTCAAACGTTCCGCCTAGCTGCTGGCAGGGGAACATTGGACCGTCGGAGCAATTTTGTAGTCCATGGTCATAATTATGCTTTGTCTTGTAATAACTGGGAATCGAACCTGTGAGACAGCTAAAGGTGATTTTTATAATGAATTTTTCTACAAACGAATTGTCTCTTATCCGGAATTACATACCGTATTTTCCCCATTAAACGTACACGTCTCCATTACTAGTACATCCCCAATTGTAGTACATGTTGGGTGTGGATCGAAAATATAAAAGGATACGTCTCTAATAATAGTACATGCCGGAATGATATGATGGGCATTAGTGGGGTACAGATACCAGGGTCCACCTTACTTCGTTTTTCTTACCCGTTCATCATATTTGTGTCTTTGTACACTGATTCTTACCATGGTTGGGTGTATTTACAGCCTTACAGCATCATTATCACGAGTTGTTTGCCACCCAACCCAGGCAATCAATCTTCCCAGAAACAATAAAAGTACACGTCTCCAATACTAGTACAGTCTCCTATAGTAGTATCTGGTCTGACCACCTTTGAAAAAATAAAAGTACTGTACATTTATTGGGGAAAATACGGTATACTACCGTTATACAAATGAGAGTCCTCTGGCTCAGTAGAGTGCTCAAATAGAGCTATCTTACACACATCACAGAGCACCACGCATCATTCGTTGCCTATGGGCATGAAACAATAAGTTACAATGAATGATGCGTGGTGCTCTGTGTCGTGTGTACTGCCATTACACAATGTACACATGGTGTCAGGGAATTTTAGATCTTTGTCTGCTAATGACGGTTGTTTTGTAACCTATGTCATACTAACAACGTTAAATCTGCACTAGTACACTCATGTCTCTCTAACTCGGACCTCAAAGTTACGGGTACCTACACTGCAGGTATAGCAGGCACCGTGTGGGTGGGTTTTAGTGGTAATATTACTACTCATGTTTTTGTGCAAATACTGACGTCATGTGCCAGATCTCTGGCCCTTCCCCATGCAAACGTATGTGATTGAGAGTTAGGGGCCGTCCGTAAATACATGTATTTACTTAGAGACGTCTAAGAGGCATTTCTGGTGGGTGTGTTCGCCTGCAAGGCGTTTCTAAAAAAAACATTTCTGAGTGCATGCATACCATACCCCGCGTGTACATGTATATGTGCATGATATGGCATTGCTACAGCTAGTAGTACATGTATATGTGCATGATATGGCATTGCTACAGCTAGTAGTACATGTATATGTGCATGATATGGCATTGCTACAGCTAGTAGTACATGTATATGTGCATGATATGGCATTGCTACAGCTAGTAGTACATGTATATGTGCATGATATGGCATTGCTACAGCTAGTAGTACATGTATATGTGCATGATATGGCATTGCTACAGCTAGTAGTCCAGGTATATGTGCATGATATGGCATTGCTACAGCTCGTAGTACATGTATATGTGCATGATATGGCATTGCTACAGCTAGTAGTACATGTATATGTGCATGATATGGCATTGCTACAGCTAGTAGTACATGTATATGTGCATGATATGGCATTGCTACAGCTAGTAGTACATGTATATGTGCATGATATGGCATTGCTACAGCTAGTAGTACATGTATATGTGCATGATATGTCATTGCTACAGCTAGTAGTACATGTATATGTGCATGATATGGCATTGCTACAGCTAGTAGTACAGGTAGGCGTTAAGACACACTACACTACACTGCACACGTCAGGGACACATACCTGTTCACTATAAACATGATGAAGGGTCAATTTTGAAAGGGTTCAAACGGGGACATGGACAAGGGTTTGCTATAATTATCACGAAATTCGCTATATGTGAGTTTCTTATAAGTGGAGTCGACTGTACTGTATATGTGTGCATAGTATCAAGAGTATATCCCCCGTTATAATCTCTTGATAGTATTGTGTTGATTATGAGTGGTATTATCTGCAGTTTGGGGGGGGGGGGGTCAAGAAAGAAACGCCTGTTACATGTCTCTAAGTAAATTATTTACTGTGAAAAGAAGAAGGACAAAATGTTACGAGTTATGACTAACTGTCCACCAACGTAACCAGATCTTATACAGTCGGCGAGTGCGACAAAATGGCACAAAACTGACAAGAAGTACTGAGACGTTCGGCGACCTGACATCTAGCTCCAACACTTCTCCACTCAAGGCGCAAACCCACGACCTTCCAACTCGGAAGGCTCAGGTTCGGAAAAGTCCAAGAGGGAAAGGAAAGCGCAACGAAGAAGAGCACGAGCTACGCATCACGGCAACAAAGAATGCCGAAAGTTACTGGATAATGACGAACTGAGAAAGAGTATTGGACATTTGGGTTTTTCCAGTTTGTCTTGTGCTTGGGCCGCTCTGGGATTAGTCGCACCTGCTGAGCCGAGTACCTTGTTCAAATCAACGGTTGATGCAGACTGCAAAAAGAACCTGGAAGGCACGAAGATTGCAGATTTTGTGTCGCCAACCGTGTAAGTCTTCATCACTTTGTGTCAGGTGGAGCGGTGTGAAGCCGTGGTTGGCTATAAAAACCCTGCAGTCGCCACGCAAAGTGGTCATTGGCTACCCCAGCCATGTATTGCTTGGAATAAAATAAATAAATAGAAGCATCGAAGTCCTCTTTTCCCTGATTTCATTGGCCTCCTCTTCAAGACTTCTATCCAACAAGTACAATGTCATGTACTAGCAGTATCAGCAGTAGTTGGAGGATTTCAAATCCATGTGCATGACTGCATGTACATACATGAACAACCGTAAAGCCAGTGATAAGGCCCTGGCGGAAACGTTAGTGAAGGTCAAGAACACGGGCGTCAATTTGGGCCTGGGCGCTAATATGGGATAAGTGAAATCAAACAAATTGTTCACCATCACTGTACTAGTACAGGTACAACAGAGGATGGTTGTAGTAAGGTCACTGTTTCCCAACACAGTGTCCTCCACCTTGTTTCATGCTGTCAAACTAACAACAGCCTTACAGGTACATGTACGTATAAGCAAGAGTACATAACTCCCACCCCCCCCCCCCCCCCCCAGAGTGTGCAACACCGGGTCCAGCTCTGCATAGGGTCTTGGTCGAGCGTAGTTGGATCTTCTGATGTCATGCGTACACTCCACACCAGCGAAAGGCCAGTCTCGAAGCAGGGCACCGTTATTTTTGATCCTAGAGTCCCCGCGACCCCCTCAGATATGTACGGTATTATGACGCAAAGATCCAATTACGCTCTACTAAGACCCTATGCAGAGCTGGATCAGGTGTTGCACACTCTGGGAGGTTATGTACTCTTGATGACCCTATGCAGAGCTGGATCAGGTGTTGCACACTCTGGGGTGGGGTTATGTACTCTTGATGACCCTATGCAGAGCTGGATCAGGTGTTGCACACTCTGGGGTGGGGTTATGTACTCTTGATGACCCTATGCAGAGCTGGATCAGGTGTTGCACACTCTGGGGTGGGGTTATGTACTCTTGATGACCCTATGCAGAGCTGGATCAGGTGTTGCACACTCTGGGGTGGGGTTATGTACTCTTGATGACCCTATGCAGAGCTGGATCAGGTGTTGCACACTCTGGGGTGGGGTTATGTACTCTTGATGACCCTATGCAGATCTGGATCAGGCGTTGCACACTCTGAGGTGGGGGTATGTACTCTTGATGACCCTATGCAGAGCTGGATCAGGTGTTGCACACTCTGAGGTGGGGTTATGTACTCTTGATGACCCTATGCAGAGCTGGATCAGGTGTTGCACACTCTGAGGTGGGGTTATGTACTCTTGATGACCCTATGCAGAGCTGGATCAGGTGTTGCACACTCTGGGGTGGGGTTATGTACTCTTGATGACCCTATGCAGATCTGGATCAGGCGTTGCACACTCTGAGGTGGGGGTATGTACTCTTGATGACCCTATGCAGAGCTGGATCAGGTGTTGCACACTCTGAGGTGGGGTTATGTACTCTTGATGACCCTATGCAGAGCTGGATCAGGTGTTGCACACTCTGAGGTGGGGTTATGTACTCTTGATGACCCTATGCAGAGCTGGATCAGGTGTTGCACACTCTGAGGTGGGGGTATGTACTCTTGATGACCCTATGCAGAGCTGGATCAGGTGTTGCACACTCTGAGGTGGGGTTATGTACTCTTGATGACCCTATGCAGAGCTGGATCAGGTGTTGCACACTCTGAGGTGGGGTTATGTACTCTTGAAGACCCTATGCAGAGCTGGATCAGGTGTTGCACACTCTGAGGTGGGGGTATGTACTCTTGAAGACCCTATGCAGAGCTGGATCAGGTGTTGCACACTCTGAGGTGGGGTTATGTACTCTTGATGACCCTATGCAGAGCTGGATCAGGTGTTGCACACTCTGAGGTGGGGGTATGTACTCTTGATGACCCTATGCAGAGCTGGATCAGGTGTTGCACACTCTGAGGTGGGGTTATGTACTCTTGAAGACCCTATGCAGAGCTGGATCAGGTGTTGCACACTCTGAGGTGGGGTTATGTACTCTTGAAGACCCTATGCAGAGCTGGATCAGGTGTTGCACACTCTGAGGTGGGGTTATGTACTCTTGATGACCCTATGCAGAGCTGGATCAGGTGTTGCACACTCTGAGGTGGGGTTATGTACTCTTGATGACCCTATGCAGAGCTGGATCAGGTGTTGCACACTCTGAGGTGGGGTTATGTACTCTTGATGACCCTATGCAGAGCTGGATCAGGTGTTGCACACTCTGAGGTGGGGTTTTGTACTCTTGATGACCCTATGCAGAGCTGGATCAGGTGTTGCACACTCTGGGGTGGGGTTATGTACTCTTGATGACCCTATGCAGAGCTGGATCAGGTGTTGCACACTCTGGGGTGGGGTTATGTACTCTTGATGACCCTATGCAGAGCTGGATCAGGTGTTGCACACTCTGGGGGGTGGGGTTTTGTACTCTTGATGACCCTATGCAGAGCTGGATCAGGTGTTGCACACTCTGGGGGGTGGGGTTTTGTACTCTTGATGACCCTATGCAGAGCTGGATCAGGTGTTGCACACTCTGGGGTGGGGTTATGTACTCTTGATGACCCTATGCAGAGCTGGATCAGGTGTTGCACACTCTGGGGTGGGGTTATGTACTCTTGATGACCCTATGCAGAGCTGGATCAGGTGTTGCACACTCTGGGGTGGGGTTATGTACTCTTGATGACCCTATGCAGAGCTGGATCAGGTGTTGCACACTCTGGGGGGTGGGGTTATGTACTCTTGATGACCCTATGCAGAGCTGGATCAGGTGTTGCACACTCTGGGGTGGGGTTATGTACTGTACTTGCTAATACGGTAAACACAGTGTAGTGTACACTAAGTTCTACATGTACTATAGTACCGTACATGATATAACCTAACACTGGTTAAAAACCAGTATTAGATAAACCTTGTTATAGTTCACGCAATTGTTAGATTGACAGCATGAAACAAGGTGGAGGACACTGTGTTCGGAAACAGTGACCTTACTACAACCTTCCGCGGTTGGCAGAACCCCGGTCCCTGCGGACCATTTGAACCATATGGGTATCGCACCCGGTTCACCAACCCCGTCTACAGAGAGCACCTTCTCGCGACAGTGTCGTGGTGATGACAAAAAAACTGTTGACAGTTGACGAGCTGAGAGAAGGACGCCATGGGCAGAAGTTGGAAGAAAAAAGAAAAAGAAGTCTTTATACAAGTAAAAGAAAAGAGCGAAGAAAACACGACGACATCAGGAGTAGTCTCCTAACCCCCTAGCATAATGAGGGTCAGAACCGGGTGCGATACCCATATGGTTCAAATGGTCCGCAGGGACCGGGGCTCTGCCAACCGCGGAAGGCTGTAGAAAGGTCACTGTTTCCGAACACAGTGTCCTCCACCTTGTTTCATGCTGTCAATCTAACAATTGTGAGTACCGTACATGTACGTGCAGCAGAGCATGAACCGCGCTGTCTACTGGGCCGGTGATTTTGCCCATGGGCGTTTACACGGAGGTGGGCTAGAGAATGAGACAAGAGTGTTGCCACGCGGCAACTGGGCGCGTACACGGGTAGTGGGCGTTATACTGGGTAGGCGTATTTACGGGCTTGTACGGTAGTATCGTAAAGTACCGCGAGAGTGCCCCACCATCTCGTTTTTCCGAGGTCGTTTTGTGGAGGTGGACTCCTGTCTGTAGGTCATACGACGCTAACTTTGTACACATATTGCACGTTCTGCAGACAATCCATACCTTCGAGCCAACACGAGCTCCATACAAAAACCTGCTAAGTGTGACCTTAGTACACTAAGGTTCTCACGCCGTACAAACTGCGTTGCACTCTGCCATACGGTTGTCCTTTCCCTGGCTGTAAAATCAAGGTGGGGCGCTCTGGCAAGACGGGCCGCTCTGGCGGTACTTTACTGTACTAGTAGTAATCTTGCTGATACAGAGTTCATTGATGGAGCTGTGCATGTAGGGAGTGGAGCGTATAGGGACCTACACCTAGCAATCCCTGTAAGCTGCCCCTCCGCCCTATGCTGCTACTCCTGCACTGATTGCTTTGGTTTGCATTGCCGTCGGTGATGGGCGTGCTCATGGTCTAAAAAGAGAGAGGTGTGCGTGTGTATGTTTGTGCATGTGTGCTCGCTTGTGCATGTGTGCGCTTGTGCGTGTGCGCGCGCTTGTGTGTGTGTCCACGCGTGTGCGTCAACACTGCTCAGCTACACGTTCAAGGACAGCGACAACGAGTACGAGTATGGGCTGGGTATCTGCAACAACGTTGTGCCGGACTCTCGCATAGTAGTGACGCAGACAGAGCTGCAGCAGGACGCCAAGAGAACGGTGTCCGTTGGCCGACTTAACGACACACATCTTGTAAGCAGAGGTAAGAAATATAGTGAGAGCTGTCTAAGACGACCGACCGCTCAGGGGACCTTCAACATGTGGTCTCTGCTACCAGGTGGTCTCCTTATCCTGGGTCATTTGACTGGAAATAGCATCCCTTGGTTCTGGTTGCAGTGGTCTTCTGGGACAGGTGGTCACCTTATCCGAGCGGTCATGTGACAGGTTCTACTGTACATGTGACAGTGACAAACGGGAAACCGGGCAGCTCAACTTTTCAACCTGGCCATCTGGCCGGTGTAAGTCAACAGTAGAAAGTTAAACCCACTGATAGAACTCGCCGTCTCTCTCAGTCTGAATGAAGAATTTGGGGATGACCCCTGGGGTTGCACTTGACCTTTGCACGGCCACAGTAGAAGATATACATATACACATGCATGCTAGCAAGAGTATACAATCCCCCCCCCCCCCCCAGAGTATACAACCCCCCCTCAGAGTGTGCAACGCCTGATCCAGCTCTGCATAGGGTCTTGGTCGAGCGTAATCGGATCTTCTGATGTCATGTGTACACTCTACACCAGCACAAGGCCGGTCTTGAGGCAGGGCACCATTGCTTTTGATCCGAGAGTACCCGCGACTCACCGGGTTCCCCCTAAGATGTGTACGGTATTGCGACGCAAAGATCCGATTATGCTCGACCAAGACCCTATGCAGAGCTGGATCAGGTGTTGCACACTCTGGGGTGGTATGTACTCTTGATGACCCTATGCAGAGCTGGATCAGGTGTTGCACACTCTGGGGGGGGGGGGGGTATGTACTGTAAAAAGGGTAACTATTGCGACGTAAACATGTTTGCGAATTTTGCGAGAGGCCCCGAATCGCAAACTTTGAACAACGCAAACTCGCGCCATGTAAAGTTCAGTGCAAGGACTGACTCGACTGTGTAGAACGACTGTACAGTAAGATCGGGCGCCGAAGAACGCAGGGGCTCGAGCGCAGCCTAGGAAAGTTCTTAAATTTTTGATTCTAGCCAGACCGTTCTTATTCACACGCGCGCGCGGCGAGTCGAGTGACGTCATGACGTTTGTCATGTACATGTACATGTAGTGCAATGTAGTACTTCTAAACTAGTGGGTGTCGTAAATGGGAATGACTGTACATGTAGCAGTTACTGTTTACACGTGTACATGACATGTACTCACCTCCCATACACGTACGATTATGTAGATCTACGTGTAAATTCGCAACTTCGTGTAAGTACATGTATGACAACGTGCATGTAGTCGTAACTCGACTCTCTGCACTCATGTGGAAATTCCAAATTTTAAAAGTGTTCTTAAATCTGATAATTCTAGCCTGGACTGTTCTTAAATTTTGCCGGTTTTCCAGCCTGGGTGTTCTTCGGCGAGGTGTTCTTCGGCGCCCGATCTTACTGTAGAACGACTCGCAATACATTATACAGCGCAAACCAGTCTCAATTTGTAAAACGCAAACATTTATTGCCGCAAAAGCTATCCGTTTTACAGTACTGTTGATGCTACAATGTACTACTCACACTTCTGGAAGGAGACAAATTTTCGCCACATTCAAATCTCCGCCTCCCAGGGCTAAAGCACATTTTTGGCCGCATCAAACTTTCGGCCCGTACTGCTGCCGCCTGTATACCCTGTCACACTGAACCCTGCAAAACTAAATTTCGGCCACAACAAATTTTTGGCCAAACATGTCCAGGCCGAAAATAGCCGAAAATGAATATGCGCCGAATACTGTAGTGTCTTGTATAAAAGCCTGTCTTGTATAGAAGCCTGTTTTGAATAGAATCCTGTTTTGAATAGAATCCTGTTTTGAATAGAATCCTGTTTTGAATAGAATCCTGTTTTGAATAGAATCCTGTTTTGAATAGAATCCTGTTTTGAATACAATCCTGTTTTGAATACAATCCTGTGTTGAATAGAATCCTGTTTTGAATAGAATCCTGTGTTGAATAGAATCCTGTTTTGAATACAATCCTGTTTTGAATACAATCCTGTTTTGAATACAATCCTGTGTTGAATAGAATCCTGTTTTGAATAGAATCCTGTGTTGAATAGAATCCTGTTTTGAATAGAAGCCTGTTTTGAATAGAAGCCTGTTTTGAATAGAATCCTGTTTTGAATAGAATCCTGTTTTGAATAGAATCCTGTTTTGAATAGAATCCTGTTTTGAATAGAATCCTGATTTTTAAGATACACTGTCAACACATAAGCCTGGTTTAGTGTTGACATACATAGAGATACATGGTTTGAATAGTAACCTGACTTAAATAGAAGCATAGCACTGACATTGGTCTATACGGCCGTAAGCACCTGCTTTTAGACGCGACATTACGGTATTTGTTGATGTATAGTAGTTAGTACTGGCAAGAGTACGATCAGTCATGAATGTGTGTGTGTGTGTGTGTGTGTGTGTGTGTATGTGTGTGTGTGTGTGTGTGTGTGTGTGTGTGTGTATTCTTCTTTTCTAACCACTGCAGATGATTGTGCTGAACTGACTTACTACTATGGTGATGTGTACAATAGGCACTGCAAGAAAACTCACCGCACCGCGCGCATCATGTTCGTGTGTGATCCATGTGCTGGCAAGGTGAGTGTGGTATGATACACTGCAGTGTGATGTCATCAATATCAATGCTCTCTTTTACGAGAACTTACATGTAGAATCAGCTACACACCTCTGTGTGTGTGTGTGTGTGTGTGTGTGTGTGTGTGTGTGTGTGTGTGTGTGTGTGTGTGTGTGTGTGTGTGTGTGTGTGTGTGTGTGCGTGTATCTGTGTGTGTGTGTGTGTGCGTGTATCTGTGTGTGTGTGTGTGTGTGTTTTTTGTTCCCTCTGGGGACGGTTTGAATTTTCCGAGCTCCCTCTGTTTGCGAAAGTATGGTATGCTGTGCTTGATGAAATTCTAGCATGGTCGTTCTTCGGCGCTCCGGTATTTGGCACTCCGTTCTTTGGCGCTCCGTTCTTTGGCGCTCCGTTCTTCGGCGCTCCGTTCTTCGGCGCTCCGTTCTTCGGCGCTCCGTTCTTCGGCGCTCCGTTCTTCGGCGCTCCGTTCTTCGGCGCTCCGTTCTTCGGCGCTCCGCTCTTCGGTGCTCCGCTCTTCGGCGCTCCGCTCTTCGGCGCTCCGCTCTTCGGCGCTCCGCTCTTCGGCACTCCGTTCTTTGGCACTCCGCTCTTAGGCACTCCGCTCTTCGGCACTCCGTTCTTCGGCACTCCGTTCTTCGGCACTCCGTTCTTTGTCCGTTTTTTTGTGCCTGTCAGTACTGTAGAGTGTAGAGTGGCACTAACTCACTGCTAGCCTGTTCAGTTTATTTGGGTGTTGCTCAGTAAGCCCATTGCGCAGTGACATTATTTGCACCATAAGCATCCCCCTGGGCATGGTCGTCTAGCTGGGGTGTTTGAACAGTGCATTGCTGATCTCAGCGTACTCACATGCATTACTCATCATACCTTCCATATTTGGCAATGCACGATGGGCTTATTCACCACTGTGTGCTTGTGGTGTATGCAGTACAGTGGTGGGTAAACTTGTTATCCTGAATAAGATAGAGCTGGCCACTGTACCACTGTACCACTATACCATTGTGCACAGCCGTAGCACACTGATAGTCCTATAGTGCAGTGCTCCAGGAAATCCCAGCGTGCATGTCTAGTTTGCGCCCTGCACCAGTGCCCAGCCCAGTGGCAGTGTTCACAGATCTAGGGCTGTACAGCGCCCAGTGTGTACTGGACTCACACGATCGGATTGCATTGTGCAGCTTTGCACAATGTCTGTAGGCTGTGAACTTGGACGCAGTGCTGCCAGTATTTCATTCAGAGGGGGGGGGGGGGGGATTTCCCCTGGCCAATGCTCTACCTACACAGCTGCAGTACAGTAACCGTGATTCACTCTCTACGTCTGTTCACGTAGCTGTGTCTATCTTCTGCTTGCAGGGATATCCCGAAGTGGTTGAAGAGTATGCTACTGACTCGAGCACGACAGAGAATCAGCACTGCTTCTATCTGTTCGAGTGGGCCACCTCGAATGTCTGTAACAAGGCTGCCGCTGGTCGACTCATTGTCTGCAAGCCCACAGGCCTTGGAGCAGGCAGCATCTTCTTGATTGTGTAAGTTACAAAGTCAGTGCTCAGCAGCAGCAGCAGCATCTCAAACAATTGTGTTTTTCTTCACCTGGGCCATGGCCGTGCAGGTGTGCTCATAGCAAGCTGCAGCTCTTTTCACGATTAGTGTACAGTGCTGCAGCTCAATGAGTGTCGTGCTGATTCTGTTGTTCTTGCTGCTGCTACTGTTGCTGCTGCTGCTGTGGCTGTTATCATTGACAGTGCTGCTGCTGCGGCTTTTTGCTGCTGCTGTTGCAGTTGTTGTTGTTGGTGGTGGTACTGATGCTGGTGTTGTGCGCTGCAACTGTTGTCGCTATTGCGGCTGTTTTTGGTGGTGCTGTTGTGGTTGCTCCGGTTGTTATTGGAACTGCTGCTGGAGTTGCTGCTGCTTCTGCTGTTGCTGTTGTGTTTCCTAAGGCGGGTTGTGCCGGAGTTCTTAGTTGTTACTTTTGGGTGTGTCTGTGTGGGTTTGTGTGTGTGAGGTTGGGGGGGGGGGGGGGGGGTGTTTGTATGTGCGGTGGGGGGGGGGGGGGTGTTTGTGTGTGTGTGTTGGGGGGGGGGGGGGTGTTTGTGTGTGTGTGGGGGGGGGGGGGGTGTTTGTGTGTGCGGGCGGGGGGGTGTTTGTGTGTGTACATGATACGTGTATGTAGCTGGGTTCTCACAGACTTGACTGTGACCTGCACTCGTTCTGCTCTCTGTTCTGCTCACTGCTCTGCTCTCTGTATCCAGGCTGCTGAGCGTGGGTGTTGCCTACGTTATCCTCGGTTTTATCTTCAACCGCTTTGTTCGCGGAGCTAAGGGCAATGAGCAGTTTCCTAACTACTCGTTCTGGATCACGTGTGGAGACCACATTTCTGTAAGTAAATCTATGCATTGGTTGCCTGCTGCTGCTGCTGCTGCTGCGATCCTTATTAATTAATGTTGTGCTTTAGTCCTGGTTGCTTCTCGTACGAATACAGCTGTAGACTGGTAGAGATTGTCAACATAGCGCTGCTGCTGTTGCTGTTGCTGCTGCTACTACTGCTGCTGCTACTGCTTCTGCTGCTGCAGCTGCTGCTGCTGCTGCTACTGCTGCTGTTGCTGCTGTTGCTGCTGCTGCTATTGCTGCTGCTGCTGGTGCTGCTATTGCTGCTGCTATTGCTGCTGCTGCTGCTGCTGTTGCTGCTGCTGCTGCTGTTGCTGCTATTGCTGCAGCTGCTGCTGTTGCTACTGCTGCTGTTGCTGCTGCTGCTGCTGTTGCTGCTGCTGCTGTTGCTGCTGCTGCTGTTGTTGCTGCTATTCCTGGTGCTGCTGCTACTGCTGCTGCTGTTGCTGCTGTTGCTGCTGCTGCTACTGGTGCTGCTGCTGCTGTTGCTGCTGCTGCTGATGCTGCTGCTGATGCTGCTGCAGGCCAGGCTAAAATTAGTGGCGGTCAATTCATCAGCCTTGCAAGCTGTTGAATGGTGTAACCCCGACACATGTTGCTATGACTAACATAGTGTGTTCGCTATCATCGCGTCAGCAATGGGCATATGGAAGGAAGGTTAATGCCGGGGGGATTACAACGTGCATGTACATATATGCTGGAGTAGACTGGCGACGGGAGACACACACTGTATTGGCACAGCCCATTCCTTATGCTGCACCTTTTTTGCTGAGCGGTCTTTGTCCTCCTTCCTGTTGGTCCGTTTGCTTCGCTTTTGCTGATTCAGGACGGCTGCGATGTCTTGTGTCGGAGTAAGCCACCTTCCATTCAAATGAAATCTATACCATCGGTGAGTCCTGTCATCTTGCTGTGCTGCTCTTCTCTCGTCCTTTTCTGTTGCTAGTCTTAGCAAGAATACATGCATGTATGAACAGTACACAAAACCAAGAGTGTGCATCTCTGATGGGTTGCTGTCACGGCCAACTTCCAAGATTACATCATTTTAGTCATGTAGTGCGTACAAGCAGGATTCAAGCAGGTTTCTTTCAGCACAACTGCAGCTCAGTTGTACGCACTACGCCCGCCTCAAATCTGCACCGAATATGATGTAATCGTGGAATTTCGCCGTGACAGACACCCATGTTAGATAATCACGACCGCCCCAACTCACTCCCGGACACGCACTCACAACAACGTCCACAACGAGTTCTTTGGCGAACAGTGTTCATATAATTATTGGAGAAGAAGCAGAGAATGTGGGAGAGCGAAAAACACAAGTTTGTTCCACGGCCAACTCTAAAACTAACTGGAACTGATGTAGTTCTTCGTTGTACGCACTGTACGCATGAGAGCACGCCAGTTGCATGCCAGCGCGCAAGCGAGCAATGAACATGAAACGGACACCAGAAGTAAAAGGATCTGGCGGTGACACAAAGTCAAAGGGAATGTATTACATGTCGGGAGACCATCAATGAGCCATGGTAGCCGGCGGGTGCAACAAGGAATGTAAGATAGAAGTTAGAGCAACGAATACCATGCATACTCTCACATCACCCCTTAGTGACTCATGTCACTACCGAATAGCTACAACATAGTCATGAATATCGAGCAGGTCGCACGAGCGTAGACCGGTCGCGCAATGATGGGCCTGCAGCAGGCGGCGGCGTGACCGGGTCAACGCTCAATACCAGAGACGGAACAGGGCCCGACTCGGCTTCATCGCTGGCACCCGGAGCGACGGGCGGCGGGGGCGGCAGATCGTCCTCGGCGGCACGCCTTAATATGTCGACATTCACGATCTTGTCACGGCCGGTGCCGTCGACCCGATGAACCACCACCGTCGAGGGGCCCACAATCGACATAACTTGCCAACCAGGCTCGTACGGGGTTAGGCGCTTCTGGCAGCGCTGAGGCCGGCGAAGCATGACGGCATCGCCAACAGTCAAGTGGCTCGGTGTCGGCTCGTCGATGAAGTCGAAGCGGCCGAGCGCAGACTCGATGTAGTCTCGCATCGCCGCTGCCCGCTGCTGGAGGTCGTCTACCCATGAGCCAGCTGAATACGAGTGCTGAGGCCGATCCACGACCAAGCCACGGGGATGCCAACCAACCATGGCCTCCATCGGGGAGACGTTGGTGGCGCTGTGTGGCCGGATCCGATAGTAGTACAGGAGCATCGCCAGCTCCTGTTCCCAGTCGTGCGCCTCATCCAGAACCTTCCGCACGAGGGTCAACAGGGTTTGGTAGCACACGTCGACGAAAGCTCTAGCCACACAGATGCCGTCATGACGCTTGAGGGGAACCACCTCGACCCACTTGGTGAATGCATCCACGCATACCAACACGCAGTGGTAACGCCCGGACCGGTTAACGCCGAGCTCGAGGGTATCGATGTGCACCACATCCCAGGGGCCGTTGGCTGATACCGGACGAGTGGGCTCGGTCGCCTCTCCGCGGCGTGGGTTGGCGGCTTGACAGCTGCTGCATCCGGACACAAACGCTTGGCAGCGCTGTCCCATGCCCAAGAAATGGCACTGGGATCGAAGCAACTGGCGTGCTCTCATGCGTACAGTGCGTACAACGAAGAACTATGCATACTCTCACACCCATGCAGAGCAAGTCAAAAGCTGCACACTCTGAGTTTCCTGTACACTTGATATAAGCTACCAAGGCTGCACACCTCTGCATACAAGTAGGGAGTTCCCCATAGCAAACCCATACGGTGTTGTACACTCTGTGGCACTTCTATACTCTCGGTGATTTCGTTACTCAATGGGTGCATAACTTTCAAGAGTGTGCAGCTCCACATAAACGTCTGCCAAAATATGAGTTCCGCAATTACGCTATTTTCGCTATGTAATCCGCTTGACTTTACACAAAACTGCATTGTGTACTGCCCACCTGACATCTTGTACTTCCTCGGCAAACCAAAACTTCGTGACTTTTCTATTCATATATTCTAAGGAGTTACTGTGCTCAAGAAATGTTATTCAGTGGACCAAAACACATTTCAACAAGGGTGCAAAATAAATGAGCGCCATTTGAGTGTGACTCTGGGCCACAGTCACTCGACTCCACTTATAACGAACTCTCACATAGCGAATTTCGTGACATAGCGAACCCTTGTCCATGTCGCTGTTTGAGCCCATACAAAATTGACCCTTTATAGCCCGCCGTTTTCGTTGACAACGAACCGAATCTTGTAGGGCCGCATGTAAACCAAGTGTACTCATACTGTCATTGGTCACATATCAGTCAATCCGATTCATGACCTGCTGCTTGTACAGAGTGACTGCATCTCTGTTATAACGAACTTCGGATATAAAGAACTAAGTCTCCTGTGCAATGGTGTGCGTTATATCAGGAGTCAGCTGTAATTTTAAAATTCTGAAAATGAGTCGTGCCTGTAACGCAACCCATTGTTGTGACTATTATAATGTTTGTTTTCACAATGACCATTGGACAATAACAGAGGTTGTTGTTGTAGTCGTTGCATCATCATCGTCGTCGTCGTTGTTGTTATTCAAATCTTTATTCTCACGATAGCCAGTGGCCAATAAGAGATATTGTTGTTGTTGTTGTTGTTGTTGTTGTTGTTGTTGTTGTTGTTGTTGTTGTTGTTGTTGTTGTTGTTGTTGTTTTTGTTGCTACCGCTGGCCTTTACGGTGCTGCTGCTGCTGCTGATGCTGGTGGCGGTGGTTGTGGCGGTGATGGTATTTCAAATCTTTATTTTCATGATGGTTGTTGGTGGTGCTGGTGGTGTTGTTGTTTACATTTTGTTAGTCTTGTTGTCGTCGTCATTGTCTTCATCGTCGTTAATTTTACTCTAACGATAACAATTATTGATTAAAGTGCCTAAATCGTGTGTACACGTGTGTGTGTGTGTGTGTGTGTGTGTGTGTGTGTGTGTGTGTTTTTATTGCTTTATCTGTGCGTTTTCCAGGTTGGTCGTGGTGACCATCAACTGGACCTATCAGAAGATGAGCTGGCGTAGTGCAAGCAGCTGTATGATGATTCCTATCTGTGTGCGTGTGTATGTGCACGCTTGCCACCAATACCACCATCATCGGCAACATATCACCACTATCGCTTCTGCTGTTACAACCTTGCTGCATCGCCTGTGTTTCGCCCAGCGCCACATTGCCTGCTAGCTTAGTGGCTATGCTATGTTGGTGTTTGTTGTGGTCTTGTGCAAGTGCTTCACCGCCACCGCCACCACCACCATGTGTGTGTGTGTGTGTGTGTGTGTGTGTGTGTGTGTGTGTGTGTGTGTGTGTGTGTGCGTGCATGTGCGTGTGTGCGCGTGTGTGTGTGTGTGTGTGTGTGTGTGTGTGTGTGTGTGTGTGTGTGTGTATATATCCGCCATGCAATTGCTCACCATCTGCCGAGTGGTGACGTTGCACCGCCTAGCAGCAGGATCAGCAGCAGCACCACTGGGCCAGGTGATGGTGAACACCAGCTCAATGCTGAGCTTTCAGCGCTTGCCCCCCCCACTGCTACTGGTATCCACGCTAGTACTGCTGCTGTTGCTGTTGCTGCTGCCTTTGGTTTCAATGGTGACTGCCGCCATTGCTGCTGCTTCTGTTGCCGTTGAAGTTGTGAACGATATGAGCTTCATCTTTTCTTTTTCTTTTTTTTCTTTTTAAATCATGCAATATTTATAAAAATGTGTTGAGTCAGTCATGGTCACGCATACAGCGTACAATTATAATAATTCATCCGTTTCCAAGAAGTATACAATACAATTATGCCGGGCAAGGCTTTGTCCCCCTTTCGAGTATCCTGCACGCCTGCTCCATCTCCCGCCGTTGATTGGTTGCCCGCTCCTGTGAAGGTCTCTGTCATAGTCTACACCCTGTGTAGTATGAAGGGAGACACATTACTAGATGTCTACTACTAGTCACTGCTAGCCACTGCTAGTGGTAGTCTGCTCACACTGCATCCCGGTTGGGAGCAGGAGCAGGTGCAGCGTGTGAATGTATGTGACTTTTCTAAGTTTGCTTGACTTTACTTGGCGCATTCGAACAGAATTGCTGCACCCAGGCCTGCAGTCTGCTCGGATCTTTTCCTCGTCTTTCCCGCTGCTTCTCTCGTTTATTGGCCAATTTTGTTTAGGATACAATGGCATCACCCTGATCCTCCCCCTGTCCGCTGGGTTGTGCCACGGCACATTGCTGTACTGGCACATTGCTGTACTGGCATATTGCTGTACTGGTACATTGCTGTACTGGCACATTGCTGTACTGGCACATTGCTGTACATGCACTGCTATATTGCTGTACTGGTTCGTTCTCTTCTTTTTTTCCTTTCTCTGACACCAGGCCATGGAGGCATCATGTCACCACTGTCACTCGTTTTCAGATACAATGTATGTGTAACTTAGTATCCTATACCCGGTATCCAGTAACCGGTACCCAGTAACCGGTAGGCCTTGACGGATTATGCTAATATTTTCGTGAAATTATGCTTTTCGCATTGCTGAAAAAATTGCAGAATTATGCTATTTTTATGCTAAAAGTTATCATATTATGCCGCATTATGCTCACATATGCTGCTAATATATTATGTATTATGATGGTTCTGTGCAAAATGGCAGGGGAATTTTTTTGTAGAGGGCGTTGTACTGTAGTAGCAGAAGTTCAACGGGGTCAACGCACCGTCCGACCTAGCTACGACCGTCGCTGATTGTAGTGGACTGGACATGTTATCAAGGGAGTCGTAAACCTACGACTTCCTGGTACATCTACTGTCTTGTAGAACATGACCAACTGTTTGGAATTTGATGCGAACAGGCGGATTATTCCAATTTTATGCGATTCGTATGCATTTTGCCTCGACTTATGCGATTATTCGATTTTGGTAGGAATTATGCGAAAAATTATGCTAGCATAATCCGTCAAGGCCTAGTAACCGGTACCCAGTAACAGGAACATACAGGCAGCCATGTCTCAAAGTTTGTCTTTTCCTTTGTTTTGTTAGTTTTGAAGTGAATACTTTAGGTTACCGGTACTTCTATTGAAGTGCAATAGTTTCCAGTGAATAGTTACCATGGCAACAGTGGCGTGAACTTACTGTTGTCTACGCTACGCTGTAGTGACCTCGTTGATGTCGGTCTGCTGTGCAATGCAGCAGGTGTACGAGTCGTACTCGTACAGACTCGAACTGTGAAGCCAACGTCTTTTATGAGTTTTATTATTACACAGACGCAGTGTGCTTAAGTTAGGTTCTGCGAAAGTGCTCAATGCAATCATGTACCTGATTCAGGCAGAGCGGCGTACACAAAGGCACACAATGAAAACCTTGGGCAAATTCCGTTGTTGTCTGATGATTGGTTCAGCCATGAAACTCTGAGTGGAATTTGCCCAATGTTTTAATTGTGTGCCTTTGAGTTTTATTAATAATTTTTTTAAATTGTGTATTAAAACAGCAAGTACACCATAGCTTCAATGTATGTGGTTAGTAACAGGGAGTCGATATTTTACGACTCCCTGGTTAGTAACTTAGTGCATCGCTGACCTCAAGCGAAGGACCCTGGTTCGAGAGAATGGAAAAGTCTGAATTTTTTCCTATACAATGTACTGACCAAGTACGAAGTCAATGTTATTAGATTTATCACGACTAGCCAAAGCCTGTGTTCAATCCCTAAAAAGGAGTCAAATATAAGCGGTCAATATAGCCCTAAGGAGTGAAATATGCAGGAATATTTGACTGCTTAGGTATAGCAAAAATCTAAGGGAATCAACACTAAGCCTCTAAGGAAGTGATAATCACCAAGATCGTGATAGCGGCTTCGGCGATGATTAGCTAAGAAAGGTGTTTGCTCCCCTCACTGAAGCTCGCGCCTTTCCGCCGACTTGACTTGACACTTGACTGAGTCACAACTCGACTCAGACTACCACTGTACCAGTAAGACAACTCCCGGCCTAGAATAAAGAGGGTCAGAACCACCGGGTCTAACACCCATACCGTTCAGATGGTAGTAAAGACCGGGGCTTTACCAACCGTGGATGGTCGTACTCATGGTACTTGAGTAGTACGGTCACTGTTTCTGAACACGGTGGTCCTCCGCCTTGTTACATGCTGTCAACCAACAACACGTTTTCAACAAAACAAAACAAGGTTTATCTACTACATGTACATGTACTCAGTATACAGTACATGTACTCAGTATACATGTACAGTGCAATCATGTACATGTACGTCATGTTGTTGGTTGACAGCATGATATGAAACAAAGTGGAGGACACCGTGTTCAGAAACAGTGACCTTTCTACAACCATCCACGGTGGTGAAGGCCTACCCATGGCCGCGTCGGGACATCACCAACCTCGTCTACAGAGAGCACCTCGTCACGACAGTGTCACGGTGGTGACAGTGACTGTTGTCAGCTGACGAGCTGAGAGAGGGACGCCATGGGCAGAAGTTAGTTGGAAGAAAAAAAGAGTTTGAAAAGGAAAACAATTCAGGTTAAAATAGCTACTATGTTTTATGACTATCAAGAAGACATCCAGGAGTAATCACAGAATACACGACTGACGTTAGGAGAAGTCTAAAACAAACTCCCCTAGAATAAAGAGGGTCAGAAAAAGGTCACTGTTTCCGAACACAGTGTCCTCCACCTTGTTTCATGCTGTCAGCCAACAACATGTGTGAACTAAAACAAGGTTTAGAAGAGGTTGGTGCGACTTCGGCGATAGTCAGGGGAAGAGTGTGTTGCTCCCTACATGGGAGCTTGCGGTTTTCCTGCCCACTTGAATTCTCACTTGACTGACTCACGACTGCCATCCATCCAGAGCACACGAGAAGTCCTTCGAACCGTCCACTCGGCAAACCTGCAAGAAAGCACCACTCCCTGCTCAATACACAGTGTTTCGGGGAATTCACCCCTCGTCAGTTGAGCTTGAGTAGGCTGAGCTCAACTGATGAGGGGTGAATTCCCCGAACACTTTGTATTGAGCAGGGAGTGGTGCTTTCTTGCAGGTTTGCCGAGTGGACGGTTCGATTGACTTCTCGTGTGTTCTGGATGGCAGTCGTGAGTCAGTCAAGTAAAACAAGGTTTTATAATAATAATTATTTTCCCTCAAACCAGTTAAATTTTTTTTTTTTTTTGGGGTGCAAGCCTCTTTTACGGGCAAAAATTAACACAATGTATTAAAATGCAATACAACATACACTGGAGAAGAAATCGGGAAAATAAAATATGAGCTCAAAAATGGAACGAAAAATAGCAAATAGAATCAAAACTCACGATGGAATCAAACTCACGATGGAATCAAACTCATGATGGAAACTACAACCCAATGAGTTGGAAAACCAACCACAGAATAAGATATTGGGAATAGAGTCAGACACAACAACAACCGAAATCAGTACACCAAAAATCTGTCCTACAAAAAACAAAGGAACAAGAAAAACAAGAAAGACGAAGTACAAAGAATCCCCAAAAAAGAGGGGAGAACGGGATGAAAGAGGACCGGAGAGCGGCAAACCCCAGAAGGACTTAGCGTCACGTAGTGGCGGGAATGCGGGCCTCCACAGAAACAGCATCCACATCCGCCGCCAGACCAGGTGAATAATAATTATTTTAATACCAACTTAGAAGTTGCGACTTCGGCGGTAATAGTCATGAAGTTGATTGTTCCAACTAGGAACACACGCTTCTTGCCGAACTTGACACTTGACTGACTCACGACTGCCATCCGGAGCACACGAGGAGCACGTCGCGCTGGAAACAAAGCGTCTCTGTAAGTTTGTATCCCTGGTGATGGTTTGGCCTGGAGAGCAGTATATAAGTGGTGCTTTTCAGGCACAATCTTCCTCAGCCTACTCAAGCTCAACTGATGAGGGGTGAATTCCCCGAAACACCGTGTATTGAGCAGGGAGTGGTGCTTTCTTGCAGGTTTGCCGAGTGGAAGGTGCGACGTGCTCCTCGTGTGCTCTGGACGGCAGTCGTGAGTCAGTCAAGTGTCAAGTTCGGCAAGAAGCGTGTGTTCCTAGTTGGAACAATCAACTTCATATTTTAATACCGTCACACCAATCATGTCATGTACTGTTGTGGACATGGAAATCCGGTCGCACGTCTAGCGGCCCCAGGGGCCAGGGTGCTGACCATGCCGCAGCCGTGGATTAGCGGTCCACACATGCATTTTAGGTAGGGACTTCAGACCATTTTTTCAAATCGGTTTTCTGTGGCTTATGTTTTGCTTTTTGGATAGGTTAGAGCTTCCTGAGGAGTTTGGTCTTTAGTTTTTCTAAATCGGACAAAGGAAACTAAAGTTACAAGCAAAATAGTCATCGCCTATCACCGGATTTGTCCGACAAACGTCCCACACATTTGAGAACTGAGAGAACCCACTTTCCTTGGCAACGCATAGCAACCGCACACCAGATCCAAAAACAATCTTGATTCTCCGCATGAAATAGCTGAATAGTATGGTTTACAATGTAGTGGTTAGTAACAGGAGACATTGATAATGCCGTCCTGAGATAGCTTCAGACTGTTGGTGTCAAGAAATAGAATGATCACGGAAGAGGCACTGACTGAAGCCCAACATGTACATGTACAAAGATATTGTATTGGCTGGGGTAATCGTAGCACGCACATCAGCAGAGATACAGCAAATAGCAACAAGAATATACAGCAAATCTCCCAGTTCGGCACTCTTTCAGCTATTCTTGCCGAGCTCAACCAGATCGAGCACAACAGCATTGGAGACAAGAATGGGGGCATGGACCGAAACAGCCAAGAGCAATTCAATTTGTACATCAGCATCATTTAGCGCAGGATTCTTCTCGCTGCTTTCCATACTGACTATGGCGGCGCTGCACGGCAAAGTACAAAGAGGAATAATGCAAGAAATAGGTCTTCTGGAAGGTGAAAACAATAAAGATTACCTTCCATCTAGACTAATTCGAGGTCGTAGAATACGAATATCACATTTTCAAGAAGGGGACCCGGACGGATCATAATTATAGTTTCTCACCTTTCCCTTCCATCCGCATACGTATCTCCGTCAAAAATGAACGTAACAGCTCCATTCTTGCTGGTCCCAAACGAAGGCAAGCTCCAACAAGACGAACCGAAACTTTCTACAAGACTTCCTTCATTTCGAAAAGCGGTTCCTTTTTTTCTTTACACGACTTGACATTATGAGTGACCACTAGGCCTCCGCGGAATATGCCGGCATAATTTCGGGAATTATCGGTGTGATTTTTAAAACGGGAATTATTGGCAATTTTTGGGGAATAATCGGTAAAATTTGAGCAATGCCCCCCTTTTTTCAATTTTTTTCCATCGTAACACCCTGATTTGTACCAAAAAGCTTGTGATCCTGAATGAGTTGATCGCCCGGTATTTCAAAAGAGAAAGAAAAAAAGTTTCCAGCCGATTTTCACGCGAACCGTGATTTTTTTGCCCGTACAAGTGGCAAAAAAAACCCGTAATCGGTACGGTATCTGCAAAAAAGGGAAGAAAAAAGCATTATTGTGAGAATTATTGGTGGAATTACGGGAATTATCGGACGTAATTTTGAGCAATGCTCAAAGGAATTATCGGTAAAAATACGAGCATATTCCGCGGAGGCCTAGTGACCACCATCACACGATTTGTGCAGGCGTCGATTTGCACGCTTTTGGGCCATGAAGTCACGTGGTCTGAAGTCCCTATTTTAGGCGCTGCAGCGCGCTAATCGCATCGGATCAACATGTGCCACGCAGCGTTCTGTACGCGCTGAGGGCGCCGGTGTAAACGCGAAAACGGTTCCTCCGCGAAAATGGTTCCAGGCATACACCGGTTACCCCCTGGAATCCACAGCCCACTAATTTCTGATGTATGACTAGTGACTAGCCGGGCTAGCCGCGAAGTATGGAATCAAGCAAGAGTACGAGTGTGAGATCGCCTAATCACAGCCCGCCGCGCGAAGCGCGAAGGGCTGTGATGTAGGCTGATCGAACATGAGTACGAGTGTTTTGATTGCATTTCTGACATGCACCCGCGCTTGAAACTCATATCGGACTTGTAAATACTTCGCGAAGGGCTGTGATTGGCTGATAGAACGTGAACACGACTGTTTTGATTGGATTTCTG